GAATGTCGATGTGCTGTTAGACTGGACGTGACAATTTCAGACGAGTCGCTGCGGTGTCGCATAATATGACCATTATAGAGCAGTTGATGCACAATACAATTTTTTTTTACTGATCCATTTCACACGGTTCAACATTTAGTAAAAACTATCATCTACTATATGTTCCTTTTGTATACTGAACATAGTAACGGCATGTCAAAAAGACAAGAAACAATTTATAATTCTACCCATGATTATTGTTGTAGTTGTTGTTGCTGTTAGCACCTCAGTCCTAAGAAAGACAAGGAAACAGCACCTGTTATCCTCATACAAGTGACATCCGCATTCCACTGTAATATATGAAGGCCCACCAGCTTTCACGAGAAAGTCAAGTGATGTTAACATGACAGTGCCACTTCGACGCTTTTACACGTTACAAAATTCCTAACAGATGGTAAGTTTTTGTTCCAGACAAAAATATCAGCTTTCGCATACGATGTTGCTAACGCTTGCATGTCTTCTATTCGATGCATGCCATTCGATTCTTGTGTATCGTCTGTTGCATTTGAAACGCTAAATCTTCTAATGGTAATATTAGCCGTTTCCTTATAAGGAAACATTCGGCATTCATTGATTAAGCAGCCAATATTGCGGTCAGGCGAAATTTATAATGTTTTTCCCTTAAAACAATTTTTAGGTTATCACTGTTTCCAGTGTTGATGGGGATTTCTTTCCTAGCCTTTTGTTTGGAGTAGGGTGGAATGCCGACATCTTGATCATGTTATTATTTTCTCTTCGAATTACAGGTGATATCAGTTTTAGTTGTTGCTGCTATTGAAAGCCCTCAGGTGATGTGGTGTCTGTTATTTGCTAGTTCTTTCCAGGATTGTTATTCTACAGATTCACGAATGATTCTGTAGATTGACAATCCTCACTAAGGCCCAAAGAACTGTTAGATGAAGTAAAAGAAGAAAGCAAGAAGAAATGGCTAATCATTAACTCTAAGAAGATAGAATGCATGGTTGTAACTCAAAAGAAGTAACTCAAATTGCGAATCAAAATCGGAGACGTTAAAATCAAGAAGGCACCGACATGTGACTGTTTGGCTTAAATATAAGATGGCGGAAATTTAGGCAAAGTAATTCAAAGGTACATGGCAATCACAAAAAATGTATTTCAGAAATTGGGAAAAAATATTAAACGGTTGGTAGATTTTCTTACAAAGAAAAATGTTGAAGATTTGAAACGACAGAGATTTGGTTCTACCGACGAACATTGCGAATACCAATGAGAACTCATATGAGAAAAGAGGCAGTTTTAAGGAGAATAGGAACTAGAAAGAAACACCTTCTAACTCTCAGAAAGAGACAGCTGGAAAATCTCTGACACATAATGAGGAAAGAAGGCGTGGAGATTGTAACACTCAGAGAGCATAGTGAAGGCTAGAGAAGTAGGGGGAAAACAGCGGATATCTTCCTTGAGAAGTTTGAGTAAATAGTTGGAAGAACAAGGCACGCAAAAACAAAATGCCGTCGTAAAGCAGAAAGAACGACTTGGAGCTAGAAAACGCGGGGAATTACAAAAGGGCCACGATCGACCATCTCCTGAAAAGATATGGTACATAGAAAACGAAGTAGGAGGAACAGGAAGATGAGATGGGACGAGGAGGGGATGGGGGAGGAGGAGGGGACAAAAAGAGGGGAGGGGAAGAGGAGGAGGGGAGGGGAAGATTAGGAGGGGGGAAGAGGAGGGGAGGGGAAGGGGAGGGGGAAGAGGAGGAGGAGGGAAGATTGGGAGGGGGGGAAGAGGAGGAGGGGAAGATGGGGAGTGTAAGAGCATAACTGGAAAGAAGGCAGGAACTTTTCGAAAATTAATGGACGTATCGAACATAAATTGCGAAATTCAGTTATATGAAGAAATGTTTTATGTGCGCACTTTTACGTGTTTTACACTGATTATTACATTTAAGGGGTCATTGTAGTAAAGATGTCACGAAGGGTCGTGCCTTTAAAAAAAAAAAAAAAAAAAACGACGGTAGCTATATATGACTCAGTAAGTCCAGATACACGAACCAAGAAGGAAATCATTATTTACCTCACCTTCAACCGAAATTTTATTTCGTCAGCGACAAGTGAAACTTCAAAATTCTCAAACAGAATCTTTTATTTGATATTCTTAGTTCATGTTAATAGATTTTTGCACCTCGTTTGTATTTAATAACTGGTTTTGTTTTAGCCTTTCTTTAAGATTCAAATTCAGCATAAATAAACATTTAGATTGAATAAGATAGCATCGTTTTCTTCATCAGCTGAAGGCATTGGTAAAATGATGTATAATCCTGTTTATATACGTCATGCAGTCGACATTTCCGAAGCTTGTAGCGATACACTTTGCTAACGGCGAGAAAAATAAAGAAAGAAAGAGAAAAACAGACTTTTTTTTTACCCGAATATGAAGTAAGGTCGAATTCTGGAAAATTTGCGTTCAGTTTCACATTAAAACCCCTACAAAAAGGCATGCATCTACCTCTTGTTACTCCCCAGCTATGAGTTAAATAATAGAATACCTTGGTCTCTCCAGCCTTGAGTGAAAACCAGTTTAAACTAAGAACTACACCAAATTCAGAACCATACAGAACGTAATAGGAAATTGCTATTCACAAATAATAACGGAAAGGACTACGTGGAGAACCATGATCGCGTGTCCTGCAGCAGATGGGGCATTTAAAAAAAACATTTCCTAATGGGTGCCCTGCACTTGTAGCTTTGTACCAAATCCAAGTATAGTAAATGTACATTAATAGTTTGGAGAAGAGAGCGTGTGTGTGTGTGTGTGTGTGTGTGTGTGTGTGTGTGTGTGTGTGTGTGTTTGCATGCCTGCGTGCGTGCGTGCGTGGGTGCAGAGGAATTAGAAATTGTTTTCTTCCATAATCAAAAAGGGTTTCAGCGAAAATTGTTGAGTCCTGAAATGATTTTCCAGAATTGACAGAATCCAGAAACTCTATGGTGCTTGCAAGAAAGTTCTGTAAAACTGCCTCTTTTTCAAATCCGATTTATGGTGGGGAGCGATAGTAGTACGGTGCGGGTTACAGAATGTCATTAAAACCCAGTAATCTTTTTCTTTTTTTTTTTTTGACAAAATCTATATAACAAAATCGAATTCACACTGATGGAGCACTTTGCATGAAATAAAATTAACTTAAGAGCTCTGCACAAACGCGTGAATTTATTTTACTTTGTTGTCTGAAGTTAAAATGCCCAAAACACGCCAGCCAGTTCAGATAGCCTAGCTCTTCAGGAAATAATGCTCAACGTTTATAGGTATAATGGTATAGTCACGGATTCTATCTATAAAAGTCAGGATGTGTGTGTGTGTGTGTGTGTGTGTGTGTGTAACGAATGCACGGCCGCAATTTTCGACGAATTTGCACCAAAATTTACATGCACATGCTCCAAGTTAGTGGGAAGGCCAAGACCAACTTTACATTTCCCAACTCCCATTGATAGTGGAAATAATCGATTTTTTCATGCTTCTACGGCAGTTTTCATGTAGTTTGAGGCCATTTTGTACTGGCCAGATTGAGAGTATAATGGCTGCCACGAATAGGCAGGAAGATTCTATTGGCCAGCATGAGAGCCAACAGCTGACTGACACGAATGTTAACTAGCATGCTAAAAAAAATCGATAGCTGCATTCGTCACAAGTGGGAAAAAATTTAAATCTGCATGGCACTTTACTCCAATTGGCTCATTCGCTTGCTTAAACTCAACGTTGATTCTGATTCCGCAGAACTGGGTTGGGTGTGAAAAAGTATTTGTTGTTAACATTCTTTTTCATTCGGTTTTTCCAGTTACGAGTCCTTTTTTTTTAAAGCTGATCGTTTTGTGTTCATTTTGTTTAGTTTTTTTTCGTAACAGATTTAATGTTTAGTATAGAGCTTAGAAAAAAAATTCGCAGTGTGAGATAGGCAAGAAGTAAGGCATGTAGCAACATCAGCACGGCAAAGGGCACTCCTTTAAAGGCAAGGAAGGGCAAAAAATATTTTAAGTCAAGTGATAGCGATTGCTGTATGAGTCGTACGATTTTTGAATCAAGCACGGGCAACGCCGGGCCATGCTGCTATATGTATATGTGGGATATATATATATTTGTAACGGTTGGAACGAGGGGAATAAATCATATTAAAAAGTTTAGGAACTTTTGCATTAAACTGTAATTTTATAATGTGAAATCATTTTAGTCTTCCGCTTCACTGACTTGATCTAGTGTACAACATACCTTGAACCATGTTAATTAATATTTAATGTGGAAATTGTGGTTTCTTGAGCCCTTGCCGTTAAAGAAAATAATATGGATAAGTCTTGATTATCAAAAATGCATATTTTGAAAATATCGATTTCATGGACAATAGTCCCTTCTCTAGTCATATTGACTTAGTAACATATCTTGCCAACGTGACAGACGAAATAAGAGAACGAGAGAGAAAGAGAAGAGAAACTGATTGGAAAAGAGGCAAGACAGACAGATGATGATGATGATGATGATTTTCATTAAGGGGAGGATAATGAATAAGCTTTTATTCGATAAAGTCCATTTTATTTATTAATATTTAATGAAATCTTAATTACCCCATTCGGGAAAGAATGCGAGATCATGAATATATATATATAAAAAAAAAAAATTTAATATTATCCATACGACACCACGTTAAAAATAGTTCACCATAGATAAAAACGTCGATCATTTGTCCAAATTGGATCTTAAATCTTTCCCATTAAAGAAACCTGTTGTAGATATTTAGTTTTAATTTAAACAAATATTTAAAACTATCAATATAAAGGGCATATTGAAGAATTCAGTCAAAAATGTTTCCCAATTGTAATAAAATATGCAGTCCTAATCATTAATGGATAATGTTTCTGTCTAATAGACGATTAAAAAATATAAAATTCATACTAAAATGTGATCCGAATTGCCAATAGGACAGCATTGCAGATGGAATTACGGTCAAATTTTGTTGA